TGGAGCTGGAGGGGGACTATCGTAATTTGATGAGGGCGGACGGAGTGCACCTGAACCAAATAGGATTGGACATTTTTAATGCGGGTCTGCAGTCGGGTATAGAAAAGGCGCTGGCTGCGGGGGGCGCGATGCCGGGTAAAGAGAGGGAGGGCCGGCATCGCGGTGGCGGAGTTCCTGGCCAGCGCACGTAATGCACGGAAAGGATTTGGGGAGTCGCAGCCTGCTAGGGCTGATGGCCGAAGGCAGGCTGTACGAACTCTGGATAAAGACTTGGAGTATCTGTCTGTTGGGTAGTCACCCCAACAGCTGACAGGTGGAAATGCTGGCTGTGTAAAAGTTTAATAAAGCTGTGGCCGTTGCCCTTACCCAACAATCAGGTGTCATGTCGTTATTGGGGGTAACGGTTTTGGTATTTGGGGTCAGCAGTCAAGATATCCCCTGGACTGCAAGGAAGGGGAGGCATGACTGCTGCCCTGCAGTAAGGGGTGGGAATATAAAAGATACAATTTTGCCTATATAGTGGGATATAAGAGGGAGAGCAGGGGGGTGGGACTCACCAGTACAGAAGGAGCAGTCTGGAACAGTTTCCCTCCCGCCCTCCCCAAAAAATTTCCCATGCTATGTGATGGTTTGGCTTGTGGTGTTGTTTGTTTCTGTTCTTGTTTTGTCACAGCTATGGCGGAGTTCCTGGCCAGCGCACGTAATGCACGGAAAGGATTTGGGGAGTCGCAGCCTGCTAGGGCTGATGGCCGAAGGCAGGCTGTACGAACTCTGGATAAAGACTTGGAGTATCTGTCTGTTGGGTAGTCACCCCAACAGCTGACAGGTGGAAATGCTGGCTGTGTAAAAGTTTAATAAAGCTGTGGCCGTTGCCCTTACCCAACAATCAGGTGTCATGTCGTTATTGGGGGTAACGGTTTTGGTATTTGGGGTCAGCAGTCATGCATTAAAAATTTACATTTTCAGATTACCTATAATGCCACTGGCTGGATTTTATCCAACAATGACAATTGTTTATTTATCTGTATATTGAGCACAATCAAATCACAATTTCGTGGAAATCAATCACAGTTTGCAATTAATAAGAAAGACTCATAATAAAATAATTTATACAAATTTTTTATTTCCAATGGACATACATCTAAAGTGTGATCAAATAAATATTTGTCATTATTATATTTTCTTCAAAATAATGCATTCTTTAACCCCTTAAGGACCAAACTTCTGGAATAAAAGGGAATTATGACATGTCACACATGTCATGTGTCCTTAAGGGGTTAAAGTAACACTATATTGTGAAGAACACAAACATATTCCTGAACATAGTGTTAAAAATATTATTAAAAACACTATTTAGCCCCCCTTGCCTCACTTACATATAGTAAAAACTATATCTATATTTATTTACAGCACCGCTCGTGTCTACCAGCACTGACTCCGCCACCTCCCTGACTGACATCACAATGGAGCCAAAAGCCACAATGTCCCAATCAGAGATGCATTATATCAATGCATGTCTATGAAGAATGTTGAGCGGCCAATAGAGGTGATCCTAGGCTGTAGTATAAATACTGCCTTTTCTCTGAAACAGCAGTGTTTACAGCAAAAAGCCTATAGGGACAAGCCATAGAGACAGAACAACTACACCAAGCTTTGGATGTCCTCATGCTTTCTGAAACTTAATCTCTCTAAAACTGAACTCCTTGTCTTTCCTCCTCCTAATACTGATCCTCCTCTCTCGCTCTCCCTTCAAGTCACTGATATCCACATAAGTCCAACCTTTTAGCCTCACATCCAGTTTGTTGCCAAATCCTGCAGATTTCAACTTAAAAACATAGCCCGCATCCGGCCCTTTCTTACAAAAGATGCTACCAAGGAGCTTGTCCATGCTCTAGTAATTTCCTGCATTGATTATTGTAACCCTTTCCTGACTGGACTCCCCAAAAACCGTATTGCCCAGCTACAGTCTGTAATGAATGTCGCCGCCAGACTGATTTTCCTCTCTAGTCGGTCCTCTCACACCTCACCCCTCTGCCAGTCCTTACATTGGCTCCCTGTATCCTATAGGAGTCAATTCAAAGTGCTAACCCATACATTTAAAGCACTGAACAATTCTAGCCCTCTTATATCTCTTCACAGATCCATAGGTATGCCCCTCCTCGTTCCCTCCGCTCTGCCCATGATCACCTCCTGACCGCTGCTCGCACCCGTATGGCCAACTTGCGCTTGCAGGACTTCTCGCGGGCGGCTCCTTTCCTATGGAATAGCCTGCCTACCCCCATCAGACTCTCCCCTAGTCTTCAATCCTTTAAGAAGTCCCTTAAAACCCATCTCTTCAGGAAAGCTTATGGCCTCCCAGTGTAACCTCTACCTTACATACCTGTCTCTTGCTTTCTCCTATAGGGCAGTGATTTACTCTCTCCTCCAACTCTGCTTCACTCCCACCCTATTTGATTGATATTTCCTGTCCTAACGTGTCTTATACCCCACCTCCTATAGACTCTAAGCTCGTTTGAGCAGAGTCCTCTTCAACCTAATGTTCCTGCAAGTTTTCTTGTAATTGTCCTATTTATAGTTACATCCCCCCCCCTCTCATAATATTGTAAAGTGCTACGGAATCTGTTGGCGCTATATAAATGGCAATAATAATAATACCGGTAATAATAATAGTTGTTCTGGTGACTTTAGTACATTTGATTTTAATGCCTGACCCCTACCCATTTGGTGTAAAGAATGGTAAACTCTTTAGGCTGTGAATTAAAAAAAATGTTTGTTATAAGGTTTACATAATGAGTTACTGTAGGCAGGCTCATTGACCTTCACCACTCATATTTTAATAGAAATTTGCAATTTGCAATTTCATTTAGCAATAGCAATGTGTGTGTCTCGTGGTTTTATAATGCAAATTATTAGGATTTGTATTTTAACCCCTCTTTTGACTTTAGTGAAGTGGGCCATAACATGTTTCAGTACAAAAATGTGTAACAAAAGGTAACTTCCTAGATGTTTTAAAACTACAACTACCATGATGCTTTGTCATTTTAAAGCAGTCTAAAGACACACAAAGCATCATGGGAGTTGTAGTTCAACAACATCTGGGGATCTACCTTTTGGGCTCCCATGTTGAATATTAATCTTTTTTCATGAGATGCTCCATTTCTTTAATATATATATATATATATATATATATATATATATATATATATATATATATATATATATATATTTATATATATATATATATATATATATATATATATTAAAGGGACACTATAGGAATTCAGACAACTTCAGTTCATTGAAGTGGTCTGGGTGCAATGTCCCATAACCTTATAGTGGTAATGATTGCAGTTTTCTCTCAGGGTTAACTCCGGGTGCTTAGACGACTTTTGGTCATCTAAATGATGCTGAACGTCCTCATGCTAGGCATGAGGGCTTCCAGCGTCAGCGGAATCCCCAAAGGAAAGAATTGATTAATGTTTTCCTGTGGGGAAATCCTAATGGGAGCGTGCCCATTGCCGTTCATGCGCATTAGGTCTCCCCTACTGGCTGATGTCAGCGGGGGAGGAGTGTGGGCAGTGCCTGACCCAGTGCCAAGGGACATCGGCACTGGATTCAGGTAAGTAACTGAAGCGGCACTGTAGGAATCTTTGTTTTCCTGGCACTAAAGAATCCCTTTAAAGATTTAGCAAATTTAGTTCAGACTAGGCAAAGCCAGGGAAAATATTGTAGGAGTATGAGAAATGGGAACATTGCTTCATTCCCCTTCTCTGTATGCCTTCTCTATGCCAGGTGCAAAGGACAGAGCTTAGTAGGAAGATTGACAGGTAGTCAAGATGGAGCGACCATATGCAGGATAAAGTGGTGTGTATTTCTACATTTAATTTTGCGTTTGATATGGATTAATGAGCACCTTTCCTGTGTCACACTACACAGTTGATTGAGTAATGTCAGGATGCTCTATTATAACAGCTGGCCTTTGATCCTGATTTGTATCTTCTTCTTATTTCCCCCCTGCACTGCATATCCTGATAACACCTTGTTGGGAAGTGTTTGTTTAATCAAGTAACACCCTTTGACCAGCTAATGCCAAATGTGCTTTAAGTTCTTTTAATATGCAATTGACAGGACATGACTGTATTATGTGAAGACAACCCCTTTTGGATGTGTATAGAATTTTGTTATAAGATCTGTGTTCTCCCCATTAAAATTAGGTGTAGTATTCTGCCATACACTTGTGTGAATGAGTACTGCCCTCCGAGCTCGTATTTCTGCTGTGTCCATTCCTTGTCTTCATACCTGAGAGAAAACATTGCTGTCTGCTGAATTTAAACCACAACAATATGGTGTCAGAAGTGGAGAGAGAATCCAAATCGGGTAAGAACATTTTGTGTTTTATTTTTGTGTTCTTTGCCCTGTTTGGATTCTCTGAACAAATTTTTGTGGTTGCAGAAAAGTAATGTTTTCTTGTTTTTGTTTTGCCTTTCTTTTTGTTTTTGTTATAAATATGGGTTAGAGTCCCATGATAAGTATGGGTTAGAGTCCCATGATAAGTTTGGGTTAGAGTCCCATGTTATGTTTGGGTTAGAGTCCCATGTTAAGTTTGGGTTAGAGTCCCATGATAAATATGGGTTAGAGTCCCATGATAAGTTTGGGTTAGAGTCCCATGTTATGTTTGGGTTAGAGTCCCATGTTAAGTTTGGGTTAGAGTCCCATGATAAATATGGGTTAGAGTCCCATGTTAAGTATGGGTTAGAATCCCATATTAAGTTTGGGTTAGAGTCCCATGTTATGTTTGGGTTAGAGTCCCATGATAAGTTTGGGTTAGAGTCCCATGTTAAGTTTGGGTTAGAGTCCCATGATAAGTTTGGGTTAGAGTCCCATGTTAAGTTTGGGTTAGAGTCCCATGTTAAGTTTGGGTTAGAGTCCCACGTTAAGTTTGGGTTAGAGTCCCACGTTAAGTTTGGGTTAGAGTCCCATGTTAAGTTGTATAAGAGAAACATTTATATTTTCTGGGTTAGAGTCCCATCTTGTCGGTAAGTTGTATATAGTGGGTATAGCAGTCCCACTGAGTGACCACATTTAGTCACTGTATTGAATGCACAGTTTGGACACAGTAGAATAAATCTTATTTTTGTTTATTGCAGCGCTGCATGTATAGTAGTATTGTTTAAAAAGTGTGCATTGCTTATATATAAAGTGTTATATATTGTAAAGTGTTATCTGTGTGAAGTTGGAAATGGGCTCCAGTAATGGTAAAAAAAAATAAAAATAAAAAAAATTCCCAACAAAATTCTGTAAAATTTAAATCATCTAAAGATGTCCCTAATAGTGCTGCGTCACGTACTCCCCAAGTCAACTCTCAGGGTCCTTGATTAGGGCAAACTCCATGCCAGTTTGTTCAAGAAACTATTGGAGATTACTATGCTGAGCCATTTTGTACAAATTTAGTTGTATGGTCAGAGAATTTTGATACAATGATTTGTAATCCATGGCCAAGAGAGGGTTCTTTTAGTGATTTTCATTTGCAAATGCTGAAAGGTTATGTGTATTAAAGATCCAAAATGGGATAAAAAGTATATGCATAATGCAGCTACAGGATGGTTAAAGTGTGCTCAGTTATGGTTTGTTCCTGATCAGACTACAAAGTATGTTCAGGCTTCTGCAGCATCACCTGCTTATGTGCTTTTTGTTGTACCATTATATCCCAGTTTGGATGAATTAAAGAAAAAAAAAAAAAAGATTTTTCGGAATATTGATACTGATGAAATTTTTATGGCGATTGGTAGAGGGAAAAGGCATGTTGGATAGATGGTTGTGAATCCTTCTGCAATGGTGAGATCCACTGCAGAAAATGTTGAGGTTGGTATGAAAAATGAGAAAGTGACTAGAAAGTCTGTGGATGTTGGTGCAGGGAATAAGCATGTTGATAGTGCTTTAGTGGTGGATGAGGGTGATAAGAGTCATGGTGTACTAGTTCCCAGTCATGTGTCTGCTTCTGCCTATCCTTTTGTAGTTGCTGGTGAGACTGTTATAATTAAGCCTCCCTATGGATCACATTTGGTGTCTCTTAGGACTCAGTGTCCTGATCCGTTTAAGCTTCCAGAAGGCGCTATTAATTATTTAAAAAGAGTAACAATGGATCAACAGTTTGGAGGGGCAGATTTTTGGTTTTTTTTATTGTCTGTTGTCTTTAAATATGCTGATATTTCACCAACAGAAATGGCTCTTAATTTGGACACTAAACATGATAGACCTGGTACTGATGTAGGTTGGTTCTGTGTATTTCTGGGCTGAGCAAGATTTTGTGTCAGAGTTTTGAAATCAGTTATTGGTTTATTTTCCTTTGTGGTTTTGCAGTTGTATAAATACCTAATATTGTAATAACTGCAGGTTCTTAACCTTTTGTCTCAGCGCAGGCGGAGTTGATTGCTCTTACACAAGCTTGTATTGCTTTTAAAGATCAAGATGTGACTATTTATACTGATTTGAGATATGCCTTTGGAGTGGTTCATGATTTTGGTGTCATTTGGCAGACTAGAGGCTTTGTTGCAGCTGATGGTCGAACTGTTTCTCATTTTGCATTAATTGATGGATTATTGAGGGCCATACTGTTACCTACATCTTTAGCTATTGTGAAGTGCAAGGGCTATGATACAGATCACTCCATGGTCAAGGATGGTAATGATTTTGCAGATTTGGTGGCGAAAAGGGCGGCTGCCTCTTTTCCCTTATGGCCAGATTACAGTACTGTTTCTTGTGACCAGGTCTTAACTGCATATAGCCACTCATACTGATGATACTGATATTCTTTCTATGCAGGCTGCATCATCTTCGGATGACTAAGCTCACTGGAGTAAACATTCTGTTTCACCTGATGCAAATTCTGGTATCCTCGAGGATCATAAAGGTTGCATAGCAATCCCTCAAGCTTTTTCTGTGTTACTCGTCCGACAGTTCCATGGCTATGGACATGTCGGACGAAGAGGGGTATTGGCTATGCTAAATTAACTATTTGTAATTAACAGGTTAGATCAGACAGTTACCAATATTTTTATCCAGGTGCTTAACATGTGCAAGAGTTAATACTACCATACCACAGTTACCTCCAGTGGAAGGTCCAATGTTAAATTTACAAACTGACTTCATGCATATGACAGTGGCAAAAAGGTGGACTTAAGTATTTACTTGTATTGTAGACATGTTTTGGCTGCCCAGTTATGATTAATAGTAATAAAGGAACTTCTTTCACTTCAGCAGTTACACAGCAGGTTTGTGAAATGTTGAGTATGGATTGAAAATTTCATATACCCTATCACCCTCAGTCATCAGGGCAAGTAGAAAAGATAAATAGAATGATCAAGGAGAAATTGACAAAAGGAGGCTTGGTTAGCACACGCAATTGGCCAGACAATTGGCCAGCAGTTTTAGCTGAGATCAGAATGACCCGTAGTTCCACTACGGGTTATTCACCATTTAAAATTTTAATGGGGAGACCTTTTCCAACTACATGATGTAAGTCCAAAGGTGCTCCGATGGTGAGCGGAGACCTAAATGTTGTGTTATATGTATTGAACCTTGTAGAAAAATTGAATGGCATCTATGGTGATTTGTCTCTATCTCTTCCTCATCCTTCAGGTACAACCACACATCCTTTCAGGCCTGGAGACAAAGTCTTGGTGAAGACCTTCTTCAAATCCGGAACCTCTGATCCACCATACAGCCCTCTGACAACCGTTGTTGCCATCACCAGAAGAGCCGTTCTGACCGAGGAGAACCAGAAGTGGATTCATGCAAGCAGATTAAAAAGATGTCCCATCAAGCAGTCTGGATATTCCAAGCAAAGAACGTTCAACCTCAGACTGATCCAGAATGAACAATAGTGCTCGGTGCACCCTAATTATTCTTTTTTCCATGGGACTTGGTTATGTGCGGATTAATATTATTTGATCCCAAAGAACAGTGATAGTAAAATATGTTATTAATATATTTCACTCTAAGCAGGCTTTATCTTCTTCATCATGGGAAACAGACAATCATTTTATTGGATCTGTACAGAATTTATACCAAGCCCTAAATTTAAATAATTGTTTAATAAACCTTAATTCGTCCAGGAGGGAGGGACGGTCTTATTATAGCCATGGCTCCCCGGAGATTTTCTTCAGAAATAACGGTTCTGAAGTTTTTTTTCTTCCCTGAGTGCTATAATAGACAATCAATTAATTTACTGATATGTTATTCTTTCAGAATAAAAGATTGGAATGATATGGATTAATGAGCACCTTTCCTGTGTCACACTACACAGTTGATTGAGTAATGTCAGGATGCTCTATTATAACAGCTGGCCTTTGATCCTGATTTGTATCTTCTTCTTATTTCCCCCCTGCACTGCATATCCTGATAACACCTTGTTGGGAAGTGTTTGTTTAATCAAGTAACACCCTTTGACCAGCTAATGCCAAATGTGCTTTAAGTTCTTTTAATATGCAATTGACAGGACATGACTGTATTATGTGAAGACAACCCCTTTTGGATGTGTATAGAATTTTGTTATAAGATCTGTGTTCTCCCCATTAAAATTAGGTGTAGTATTCTGCCATACACTTGTGTGAATGAGTACTGCCCTCCGAGCTCGTATTTCTGCTGTGTCCATTCCTTGTCTTCATACCTGAGAGAAAACATTGCTGTCTGCTGAATTTAAACCACAACAGCGTTACAAGCTCACAAATGCATATTTGTTAAAGGAGCACTGCAGGGTCAGGAACACAAACAAACAAAACCACCATCTAGCCCCCCTGGTCCCGTCATGCCTCCCTAAAAATAGCAAAATCTTACTTGTAATCAAGTCTGGAGCTGCTAGCTCTGGTTCTGTTTCCTTTAGACCTGCCCACATCAGCAGAAGTGGTAGCCTGATCCAATCACAATGCTTCCCCATAGGATTGGCTGAGACTGACAAAGAGACAGATCAGGGGCAGAGCCAGCACAATTCAATCACAGCCCTGGCCAATCAGCATCTCCTCAGAGATGAATTCAATCAATGAATCTCTATGAGAAAAGTTCAGTGTCTGCATGCAGAGGGAGGAGACACTGAATGTTTGGATGCATTGTGGGCAGCCATGACCCAGGAAGGATCTCTAACAGGCATCTGAGGAGTAGCCAGTGAAGTTATCACAAGGCTGTAATGTAAACACTGCATTTTCTCTGAAAAGATAGTGTTTACAGCAAAAAGCCTGAAGGTAATGATTCTACTCAGCAGAACAAATTCAATAAGCTATAGTTATTCTGGTGACTATAGTGTCCCTTTAAATATTATGGATAAGTAAACATAATATTAAAAATCCTCGGAAGTGACAGTTGTTCTTTAATGACTAATAACCAGATCTCCTTTTTTTTCATGGAAGAGAAGAATGTTGTTAGTAGGACACACAGCTCTAATATGTGCAGATGGCAGAATAATATTTTCTACAAGCTATGGCCCAGCTGTTAGACAAAGCACTGCTTTCTTGTTCAACAATCACATAACCCTCAATCAAATTACAGGCTGACCTACTTCTGGCAGGATAATGAAGTAATCTTTAGCCTTCACATCTAAGAGAAAGAATCTTGACTTTGCATTTAAAAAGCAAGGCCTCGTTTATGGAGAATCTATCATTTGGTGACCAAACCTCACCTATAAATGGGGACGCATAATAAATATGCACTGCAGTATTTATTAATATAGTTGGGAACTCTGCACAACGTAACAATTTACTTATTCAGTCCATTAAACCTTGCGGTCTATTATCACATCATCATCATAAACATTTTCTAAAAGTTGATTTTTCTTACAGATGGTTTTAGTCGCTCTCAATGAAAACTAATATGCATTCAAGTTACTTTACTCTGTATTAGCAATGTTAGTATGTAGTGTGTACACAAATGTTACTGCTACTGATGGCAGCACACACAGGAAGTATATAAAAAGAGGAATGCATCTGTAAAGGGGGTATATAGTTGTAGAAAGGGTATTTAAGTTAGTATCAAGATTGCTGAATGTGAGATTCCATATATTTTCAATGAGAACCATTCTGCAGTGATGGATAAGTTTACCTGCTTGTTTTTCTGTTTTTGACTGCCTTTGTGTGCACTATTCCACATGATAGAATACGGGGCTGCAGTATGTAGGTATACACTTTGCTGATTCTAGGCAACAAATAACTAGTATAAAATGTTTTCCCAGTCTGTTTTT